CATAGCATATACAGGAATACTCGGTTTTTGACGAATGCCTCTGTTAACGTAATTTTTGGATTTACGAATGAAAATTCCATTGAAAAAATAATGCCCTCGGTTTAACAAATTTTTTTAATAATTTTTTTTCACAATACTAAAGTGTTATGTCAGTGCTGATTTTTAATGCAATTGCCATCTTTTTTTTTTTGTAACAGTATAGCTCACAACATTAAGCTGTCAGTTTCCTGGAGCTAACGAATACTTTGTATCTTTTAAGAAACTGAAAGGAAACATTGTAATCTTTTAAGGAAACTGACAGAAAACATTGTATCTTTTAACTGGGGAAATAAACTAAAAGAAACTTTCTCTTCGGCTGGAGGTGGAAAGTGACTGCTGAATTTCTGAACTATTGTATAGTGAAGGAAAAAAAAACCAAAACGATAATTACATTTAAAACTGGCACCTGACAGATGAGTGAATTGCCTGCAATTAAATTTTTTTTTTCTTTTAATTACCAGCAATTCTTTTACATCATCTGTCAGTGGGGAACCCCGCTGACAGCTGAAACATTTAACACATGGTTGTCACTACTAAAATACCAAGTTAATAAAATAACTCATGTAGTATTTTAGTAGTGTTTTACGGGTTTTCTGACCTTCTGAACTGATTAATTGGTTTTCAATATGGGAAACAGTGTTTCGGTTTACGAATTCTTCGCTATATGAACTGTCCTGCAGAAACGAATCAAATTCATAAAACCGAGGTACTGGTACATCACTGGACTTTGAATTGAATGGTTATTGTGTAGGATAGATGCCTACAGCTGCAGGCATCATCCTGGTAGCGTTTTTTTCAGCCAGCGATCAGCTTTCATGTAAAAGCAATCCTAGTGGCTAAATTAGCTGCAGGTTGCTTTTACAAGCAGCAGAAGACGATGCCCTCTCCCCCACTGCCTTCCACGGGGCTTCTTGGGCAGTTCCCGTGCCATCGGGCCAACCTAAGAAATGCAGTCGGTGTTTCTGCTACAATGACATATTGCTTATTGGAGACCAGAATGGTGCCGATCATCTCTATAGCCTAAGAAATCGGAAGCTAACGAGCATTTCATCACTTCAGTTTCACAGGATGTAAACAGCGCCATTTGTAAATTGGGAAAGCATCTGATCACCCAGATCTTGGTTTAATTAGATAATGTAAGGGCAGAGGAGATATCTAGAGTCTGATAGAACCCAGATTTCTCAAAAAAGAATATATGACAATGCCCATTGAAATTATGGGGGATATTTGCATTCCATGTGATAGCATTAAAAGTGATCAAAAAAAATGAAGGGGACATTGTGAAAATAATAATAAAAAAAAAAAAGTACCCTCGCCCCCCTGCGCACACGTGCATCTGCGTTCGTGAGCACTGACCCTGTGCCAGTATGGAAACAGCAGTTGCACCATACATGTGAGGTATCGCCTACGAATTGTCAGATCGAGGGCAGTAATTCTAACACTAGACCCGCTACTGTAAATCTAAAGTGGTAGCGCTTGTAAAGGCTTTTAAAACGTTGCCTATGGATATTAATAAACGTATGCAGTTTGTCGCAATTGCACGGGGCATGTGCAGTTTTAAAGCTTGGTATCTATTTCACTCGGCATACCAATCATCTTTTATATTTTACCAAATACTTGGCCAACATTTAGTATTTTTGTGCATTAAAGTAAAAAAAGTATATTTTTAAAAAAAAAAATTGCGTTTGAAAAATCACTGCGGCGAGTACTATGTGACATAACACAATTGCAGCACCCACCATTTTATTTCACTAGGGTGTCTGCTTATAAAAAAATATATAATGTTTTGGGGTTTAAAATAATTTCCTAGCAAAAAAGACTGATTTTTTTCATGTGAAACAAAAAAGTGTCAGAAAAGGTGCTTGGCTTTCAGGTGGTTAGAAGAGTGAATATGTGTGGCATAAACTTCTAATGCTGGGCATAAAATGCCCCCACCCCCAAAACGACCCCTTTTTGGAAAGTAGTCACCCCAAAATTTTTTCTGAGAGGCATGTTTTAATCAATAAAAGAATTTATTTTTTTTACCACAAGTTTTTTTGGAAAATGACAAACAAAACAAAGTTTTTTTTTTTTTTTACACAAAAATTGTCATTTAAATGATTTATTGCTCACACATGACATGGGTATATGTGGAATTACTCCCAAAATACCATTCTATACTTCTCCGAGTATGGGGGTACCACATGTAAGAGACGTTTTTGGCAGTCTAAGCCAAGTACAGGACCCCAAAATCCAATAAGCACCTTCAGGCTTTTAAAGGGCTTTATTTCCTCATTTAACTTCCTGACTACCTATCACAGTTTTGGAGGCCCTGAAATGCCAGGATAGCACCAAACCCCCCCCAAATGACCACGTTTTGGGAAGTAGACACCCCAAGGAATTTGATCAGAAGCATGGGGAAGTATTTTTGCAGATCTCGTTTGTTGCCACGAAGTTTTTGAAAAATGAAGCAAAAAAAAACAAAAACATATTTTTTCTTTTCTTTTTCTATATTTCAAAACCTTGTGAGAATAAATGAGATCTGCAAATACTCATCATGCCTCTTTTTTAAATTCCTTGGGGTGTCTACTTTCCAAAAGGGGCTAATTTCGGGGGGGGGGGGGGAGGGGGGTTTGTGCTATCCTGGCATTTCAGGGCCTCCGAAACTGTGATAGGTGTAGTGAGGAAGTGAAATGAGGAAGTTACGCACCTTCAGGCTTTCAAAGTGGTCATTGGATTTCAGGCTCCTGTATGTGCCTAGGCTCCCAAAAAGTCTCATACCTGTGGTATCCCCATACATGTAGAAGTAGCAAAAAGTATTTTGGGGTGTAATTCCACATATACCCATGGCTTGTGTGAGAAAAATATAATTTTAAATTACAACTTTGTGTAAAAAAAAAAAAGTTTTTGTCATTTTCCAGAAGCTTGTGGGAAAAAAAAAAAAAATCTTCCATGGACTCAATATGCCTCTCAGCAGATAGCTTAGGCAGGGGTGGGCAAACTGCGGCTTTCCAGCTGTTGCAGGACTACAAGTTCCCATCATGGCTCTGCAAGTCATAGCTGTAACTGTCAGTTTTGTAAATCTTGCAATGCCTCATGGGAACTGTAGTTCCACAACAGCTGGAGAGCCGCCCACCCCCTGGCTTAGGGTGTCTACTTTCCGAAAAGGGATAATTTGGGGTGTTTGTACTATCCTGGTATTTTTAGCACCTCAAGGAATGTGATGGGTAGTCAGAAAGTAAGAGCTGTGTAAATTCCATAAATTCCATTATCTACAGTGAGGAAAATAAATATTTGAACACCCTGCGATTTTGCAAGTTCTCCCACTTAGAAATCATGGAGGGGTCTGAATTCACATTGTAGGTGCATTCCCACTCTGAGAGACCGATTTAAAAAAAAATTTCAGGAAATCACATTGTATGATTTTTAAAGAAATTATTTGTCTTGCACACTGCTGACATCTCTATAAGTATTTGAGAACACCTAAGAAATAGCAAGAATTCTGGCTCTCAAAGACCTGTTACTGTGCCTTTAAAAAGTCCACCTCTACTCCAATCATTAATCTAACTTAGTAGCACCTGTCTGAGCTCTTTAATTAAAGACACCGTCCACCCCACAGTCAGTCAGACGCCAACTAGCGGCCTCATACCATGGGCAGGACCAAAGAGCTGTCAAAAGACCCAGAGACAGAATTGTGGACCTCCACAAGGCTGGAAAGGGTTTACGGGGCAATTGCCAAGCAGCTTGGTGAAAATAGATCAACTGTTGGAGCAATTGTTAGAAAATGGAAGAGGCTAAAGACGACTGTCAGTCTCCCTCGGACTGGGGCTCCATGCAAGATCTCACCTCGTGGGGTATCACTGATGATAAGAAAGGTGAGAATCAGCCCAGAACTACAAGGGAGGAGCTGGTCAATGACATGAAGAGAGCTGGGGGGACCACAGTTCAAAGGTCACTGTTGGTAGAACACTACGCCGTCATGGTTTCAAATCATGCATTGCACGGAAGGTTCCCCAGCTCAAGTCATCACATGTCCAGGCCCGTCTGAAGTTTGCCAATGACCATCTGGATGATCCAGAAAGAGGCATGGGAGAAAGTCATGTGGTCAGATGAGACCAAAGTAGAACTTTTTGGTCTAAACTTCACTCGTAGTATTTGGAGGAAAAAGAAGATGAGTTGCATCCCAAGAACACCCCCTACTGTGAAGCATAGGGGTGGTAACATCATGCTTTGGGGGTGCTTTTCTGTGAAGGGGACAGGACGACTGCACTGTATTAAGGAGAGGATGAGAATGGGGCCATTTATTGTGAGATTTTGAGCAACAACCTCCTTCCCTCAGTCAGAGCATTGAAGATGGGTCATGGCTGGGTCTTCCAACATGACAACGACCCGAAGCACACAGCCAGGATAACCAAGGAGTGGCTCCGTAGGAAAGCATATCAAGGTTCTGGAGTGGCCTAGCCATTCTCCAGACCTAAATCCAATAGAACATCTTTGGAGGGAGCTGAAACTCCGTGTTGCTCAGCGACAGCCCCGAAACCTGACAGATCTAGAGGAGACCTGTGTGGAGGAGTGGGCCAAAATCCCTGTTGCTATTTTTTTATAGCCAAAAGTAAAAAATATTGCTTTTCTTCAAAATGTTTCGGTCTTTTTTTGTTATAGCGCAAAAAATAAAAAGCGCACAGGTGATCAAATACCACCAAAAGAAAGCTCTATTTGTGTGAAAAAAAAAGACGTAAATTTCATTAGGGTACAGCATTGCATGACCGCGCAATTATCAGTTGAATTAGTGCAGCGCCGAGTAGCAAAAAGAGGCCTGGCATTAAGGGGGGTAAATCCTCAGGAGGGCAAGTGGTTAATCGCTTAAGGACCACCCTATAGCAGATATACTGCTACAGGCAGCACCTGTGAGCAAATCACATATATATATATAATATAATATATATATAATATATATATATTATATATATACACACACCCACACCGTATTTTTCGCTCAATATGACGCACCTGACCATAAGACGTGTCTAGGTTTTAGAGGAGAAAAACAAGAAAAAAGATATTCTGAACCAATGAACTGCAGACATAGTACAGAAAATTACCAGAGACTGCGGACACAGTACAGGAGATGACCAGAGACTGCGGACACAGTACAGGAGATGACCAGAGACTGCGGACACAGTACAGGAGATGACCAGAGACTGCGGACACAGTACAGGAGATGACCAGAGACTGCGGACACAGTACAGGAGATGACCAGAGACTGCGGACACAGTACAGTAGATGACCAGAGACTGCAGACACAGTACAGGAGATGACCAGAGACTGCGGACACAGTACAGGAGATGACCAGAGACTGCGGACACAGTACAGGAGATGACCAGAGACTGCGGACACAGTACAGGAGATGACCAGAGAATGCGGACACAGTATAGGAGATGACCAGAGACTGCGGACACAGTACAGGGGATGACCAGAGACTGCGGACACAGTACAGGGGATGACCAGAGACTGCGGACACAGTACAGGGGATGACCAGAGACTGCGGACACAGTACAGGGGATGACCAGAGACTGTGGACACAGTACAGGGGATGACCAGAGACTGCGGACATAGTACAGGAGATGACCAGAGACTGCGGACACAGTACAGGAGATGACCAGAGAATGCGGACACAGTATAGGAGATGACCAGAGACTGCGGACACAGTACAGGGGATGACCAGAGACTGCGGACACAGTACAGGGGATGACCAGAGACTGCGGACACAGTACAGGGGATGACCAGAGACTGCGGACACAGTACAGGGGATGACCAGAGACTGCGGACACAGTACAGGGGATGACCAGAGACTGCGGACATAGTACAGGAGATGACCAGAGACTGCGGACATAGTACAGGAGATGACCAGAGACTGCGGACATAGTACAGGAGATGACCAGAGACTGCGGACATACTACACCATATAAAGTCCCAACAGGGCCCCTCCACCCAGAATATCAAATGATCTGACACCATACATCAAGGAAAAGGGCTACAACTCCCAGCATCTGTCATTTCTAACTTACAGAAGGCAGGCTATAGAAGGCAGGGGGCACACTAACTAACTAAGCTCCGAGGACAGGCCACACTAGCAGATAGGACCGGACTGCAGAGCAGGGATCGCACTATGGACACATGCCAGGAGCGGGGAGGAGCTGTAAGGAAAGACCACACCTGCAGACCGGACTGGCATTCAGACCACGGAGCGCAGTAACTAAGGTACATACACATGCCAGGAGCGGGGAGGAGCTCCGCGGACAGGACACGCCTGCAGGGCGGACCAAACTGCAAAGCAAGCTTGCTGGGTTTGGCGAGGGGACTGCCTACTATGAAGAGCTGCAGGGACAGCCCACTGAGACAGGGGGCTCAGATAAGGTAGGGTGAACTTCGGGGACAGGCTGCAGTGGGATGGGACAGCCACTGGCCCTAACCCGGCGGCGGTGACAGGTGGAGGCCTGGTTAGTATTCGCTCCATAAGACGCAGACATTTTCCCCCATATTTTTTGGGGAAAAAGTGCGTCTTATGGAGCGAAAAATACGGTATATATATATATATATATATATTGCATTCCGGGCAGAGGGCGCGGCTGGGAATGTCAATCACTGGGTCCCAGCCGGTAATTACCCGTCGGCACCCGATGATTACCGACAATCACCGAAGGGGAGGAAGACTGTTTTGTTTACAAACAGTCTTCCTCCCTGTCAGCTCGAGCACACTGCTCGGGATGGCTGTGCACAGTACAGCAATCCCAGTCTGTGTGCTTACAGTAAAGAACACCCCCAGCACCCTAGTAAAACACTCCCAGCACATAGCACTGATCACTGTATTGGTGTCACTGGGGATGTCAGTGACACCAAGTTAGTTCCCCCCCAGTGTCAGAATGTCTGCCGCAGTCCCGCTAAAAGTCGCTGATCGCCGCCATTAGTAGTAGAAAAGAAAAAAAAAAACCCAGTATCTATACCGCCATTTGTAAATGCTATAACTTTCACAAAACAGAAAAACCTCACAGGCAATCAAATACCACCGAAAGAAAGCTCAATTCGTGAGACAAAAAGGACGCAACTTTCATTTGGGTGCAGTGTTTTATGACCGCGCAATTGTCAGTTAAAGTAACGCAGCTCCGTAACGCAAAAAATGGCCTGGTCAGGAAGGGGGGTAAATCCTCAGGAGGGCAAGTGGTTAAAGAAGCCTATCCTGCTTCTACTTAGTTCAATTTAAACTGCAATTTATTTCCTCCATCAGGTCATCCCCCCACAACTATTACCTTTTGTATCACTCAACCCTTCCTATTAGGTTTAAGCTCTAACGAGCAGAGCCCTCTGTTTCCTCTTGTACCAAATTGTATTGTAACTGTAATGTCTACCTTCATTTTGTAAAGCGCTGCGCAAACTGTTGGAGCTATATAAATCCTGTATAATAATAAAAGAGGGTTAGGAGGGCCCTGCTCAGGAGAGCTTACAATCTAATGTAGGTTCACACCACACTGATCCAGCGCAACAGCTCAACTGTTGCATTTCAAATGAACGGGCTGCCTTATGCACAACAAAAGGATCAAAAATCATGCATGCAGTATTTGCAAGTGCACTGGCAAGGTGCATTGGGATGTCAATAGTGTGAACAAGCCCTTTAGAAATCAACTGAAACAAAACTTTAGAGTCTCTGATGTGTGATAAATTACTTCACAGTAGCAGAAACTAGAATAGTCTTTCATGGCTGATTAAGAGTATGTGAACAGTTTAAAATCCATAGCCTGGGCACAGGTTCACTTTAACCACTTTCCCTCCAGAGGATTTACCCCCCTTCCTGACCAGGCCATTTTTTTGGGATACAGTGCTGCATTACTTTAACTGACAATTGCCCAGTCATGCAACACTGCACCCAAATCTCCTTTTTTTCCCCCACAAATAGAGCTTTCATTCAGTGGTATTTGATCGCCTCTGCGATTTTTATTTCCTGCGCTATAAACAAAAAAAAAGACCAACAATTTTGAAAAAAAAACCCAGAATATTTTTAACTTTTTGCTATAAAACATATCCAGTAAAAAAAAAAAAAAATCAAAGTTCATCATAAATTTAGGCCAAAATAGATTCTGCTACACGTCTTTGCTAAAGAAAATCCCAATACATGTAAATTAAATGGTTTACATGAAAGTTATAGCGTCTACAAATGGCGGTATATATACAGGAATTTTTTTTTTTTTTATACTAGTAATGGCGCCGATCAGTGACTTATAGCGGGACTGTGGTACTGCGGCGGGTATTCTGACACTGGGGGGAACTAACTGCCACTGACATCCCAATGACTCTAATACAGTGATCAGTGCTAATAAAAAGCACTGACACTGAACTAATGACACTGAGAAGGAAGGGGTTAATATCTGGGGCAATCAAAGGGTTACATGTGTGCTGTTTTACTATGTGTGCTGTGTGTGTGTTTTACTAGGGAAACATACTGCTTTGTATTGTTCTGCTGTGCACAGCGATACAAACCAGCATGTCGGTGCTGACACGGGAGAGATCTGTGTTGTTTACACACAGGCCTCTCCCCTTTCACTGTTCCTTGGCGATGGCCAGGTGGGTTGGGAATCTATGGCTGGGACCCGGTGATCAACAACTGTAGACGCCAATGGTGGCAGAGGGTAGGGCAGCGCACACGCACCCCTTACCCAGAAATGCAAGATCGTGTATATATACATGATTTTATGCAGCCCTGCAGCGGTAGTTCTGCTATAGGGTGGTTAGGAAGGGTAAAGGCCAACTACGGTAAAAGTAAAAACCCTCCCTTCCAGTACAGATACCCCTGCACTGCAACGCCGAACTGGTTGTTTACATCTTGGGGACAGATCTTCTGCTCCCTTGGCAGGCTGGGCTCACCAATGTTCTGGTACTAGACCTCCCCATTAACTCCTCATGTCCAGTGTAGGGCTATGGGCCACACATCAATCTTGAGGATGTCAGAGGTCATCCGACCGTCAGATGGTACGAGAGGCTGCGGGGGCAGTCTTACAGCAAGGTGGAGCCTGCAAAAGTGTGGGATCAGGTGAGAAAAAGTGTTTTACCTGGTCCTCTAAACATAAACTAGCCCTTACAGCATGAGGCAGCCCCACTGCAAGGGAGGATTTCTACTCCCCAAGGTTCAGCTTTATAGTACATCTTCAGTTTAAAAAGGAGCAGACAGCACCAGATATTCTAGCTGATCTAGTTAAAATATAACTTACCTTCCAAAACTACTTTTCATTTCATTACAAAAAAATAAAGTACTAGGATATTTCTACATACCAACCCATTGGTCCCATAGTCTCAGCACGATCTTTTCCACGCTGTGCCTCTTTAAGAAGCTCTTCCACTGCTTTCCTGCAAAAAAAAAAAAAAAAGTCAATAAGAAAAAACTAAATACATAAATAAATTATACTGAAGCTTGAACAGAAAAGAGAGACATTGCAGTGTGGAAGTTTTATCAGTTCATACTGATGTTCAATCAAATCACAGAAGACTGTGTTCCCTACTGTCTGGAAGACAAGAGTTATCTGATCATATGTAACAGAACATTGCTGAGAAACAGCATGCAAGAGATGAAGAATACAAAATGTGAAGATTATTGATCCTACGACCTGCAAGGTTAATGGGAATCCAAAATACAAGTGTTTATTGCTATTAATAATTTTGTAGTTCTTTCCAGATTCTGTATCAACTAAAAGTATTAATTCCTTCCTGTGCTGTATAATAAAAATTTTTTTAAGGACAATGCAAAGCCACTCAGCTGTTTAAAGCTCAACTACATGCATTTAATAAAAAAGGCATAAATTCATGCATCTAGGCATGTTGACTTGGTATCACAGCCTCTTAACGCGATATTAAAGGCAGATTTAAAAAAAAAAAAAACATGTTATAATTACCTGCCTTCTGCAATGGTTTTCCACAGAGGAACCCCAATCCTCCTCTTCTCGGGTTCCCCACCAGCGTTCTTGGCCTTTCCCTCCTGCCGAGTGCCCCCAGAGCTAGCAGCTTGCTATGGGGGAACCCAAGCAGCTCATGTTCTAAGCGGCTTCCCTGTCTGTCCATTCACACACAGAGCATGGCTCGGTCCCACCCCCCACCTTCTACTCATTGGATCATTGGCTGTGTGTGACAGTAGCAGGAGCCAATGGCTCCCGCTGCTATCTCAGCCGATGAGGAGGGAGAGACCTGGGAAAGCAGAGGCTCTTGTGCTCATGAAAGTATTTGGGTGGGGGGCCTTTATGGCCACTTTATAATGAGAGAGAGAGAGAGAGAAGCACTGGATTCCAATTAAGCATGCTAACATGCCAATGTGTTGACAAGGAATATGCTGATAGGAAGAGAAAGTAGAGTGAGCATAAAGATGACCTCATCAATCAGCAGGCTCAGGACACCGCAGATGAATGAAATCTAGAACTGTAAGAAGGCGGTGTTATCCAACTGGCCTCCCTGTGTGGATGAGCTGTGTAAATCAAAGAACTACAGTAGGTGGACAGGAATACAAATCCTTTGGCAGGTAAAATAGCTCCCTTACATGTATTTCATCTGTGTATTTAGCTGTATACCTGGAGTTTAGCTTTGAAATGTTAAAAGGAACTTGTGAATACAAGAAGTGCCATTGCTGACTTGTTTGTGAAGGTGCAAGATGCAGAACTATCATCGTAAACCCACCTTTCCCATCAATGAGGCAATGACCTGGAACAAGCATGTTCATATCAGGTGCTCAACACTTTACTGGTTGCATACAGATGATACTATCAAAAGAAAGAGCAGCTCCCATATTTCTATTCTGACAAGTACCTCAAGAAAAAAATACCCAGAAACAATCGGTTTTATTGGTCAGGCCACCCAAAAATAATTTTTCAATTTTGGTTTGTGTCTAGAGAAAGGAGTTTAAAGGTTTGGTTTCATGTATCCCTTCACACACATATCTGCATCTTTCTGCCATAGTTCCTGCTGACCTTTCAGTATTACCAATCATTGTTTTATAATACAAGACAAAAAAGAAATTAAACAAATTGAGATTCCCTTGTACAGTAAAAGGGTGGAGCTGGGATCTCAAGAGGTATCGTGTTTGCAATATTTTAGTAAAATGCATACAGCAGCACAATGACTAAGGCTGGCCATACATTATACAATTTCTTCCAATTTTCTGCCCAATTTCCTTTAGATTTACCTTCAACTGTGTATTGCAAGGGCCTGCCTATTGGATACAACTGAAAGTGTTGTTTAGGTTTGTCCTCCTATTATATGGTTTTTGGTAAATCTAAACCAAAAATCTCCAGATAATTGTAAAATGTATGGCCAGCCTAAATGTTTGCTTTCAGCCATATAGACTTCACCAGCCACTTTATTAGGTGCACCTGTTCAGTTGCTTGTAACACAAATTGCTAATCAGCCAACCACATGGCAGCAACTCAATGCATTTAGGCATCTAGACGTCGTGGTGAAGATGACTTACTGAAGTTCAAATGGAAGAAAGGGGATTTAAGTGACTTTGAATGTGGCATAGTTGTTGGTGCCAGACGGGCTGGTCTGAGTATGTCAAAAACTGTTATTATTAAATCCTGTATAATAATAACTGTTGATCTACTGGGATTTTCACACACAACCATCTCCAGTGTTTACAGAGAATGGTCCGAAAAAAAAGAAAATATCCAGCAAGCGGCAGTTGGGTGGACAAAAATAACTTGTTGATGCCAGAAGTCAGAAGAGAATGGGCAGACTGGTTTCTGCAATATTCAGATGGTGGGATCAGAATTTGGCATAAACAACATGAAAGAATGGATGCCTTGTGTCAACGGTCCAGGCTGGTGGTGGTGTAATGGGATGGGGGATATTTTCTTTGGCACTAGCGAGTTGTACCTAATAAAATGCCCAGTGAGTGTATATGTAAAATTAAAGAATAAAGTCTTTTGATGCAC